TAATATGTTTTGAATGGTTTAATAATAACTGAATATAATTTATATTTTACATGAAATTACTTTTGATATTTCGTGTGATTCTCAACGGAATTGTATTCGCGTTTAAATGAAAGGCTAGTGTTTTGTAATAAAAGGCAATCATTTATTTATTCATATATTTATGCAATTTATTATGAGAATAGCTCATAGAGTTAGCGCTTATAATAAACACCAGAATAACAAGAATATTCTATAAGTTTTATCTTTTTTATTTATTTATGTTTAGAGATATCTTGAAAAATGAATGCCAAATAATATCACAGAATATTCACTCTATATATCAATTCTCTCATATTTAATAAATAAAACATTATCTTTAAATATAATAATAACAATAAATGTCTTATTGAATACACATAATAATCAATTGTTTGACCGGTTTTACACACTATAGGCACCAAACGTCAGGCGCATAACCACATGGATCGGAAGGACAGTTGGCCGGACATCACCATAATCTTCACGAAAGACGCGGCCGAATGGGACGAATACCTGACGGAGTGTTTCACCCAAATGATCGACAGCCCGTCGGGGGGCCAGTCGTCGTCGGCCAGCGCTCAGCAGCCGCTGATCGTAGCGCACGAACGGCTGGAGAACATGCGCTTCCCGTTAACAGCGCTGGAGTCGCAACAGTTTGCCAACAGTCGGGCCGTACTGTTGATCATCAGTCCCGACCTTCTGGACCACGTGGACGCACACGCGGACGTCTACGAGTTGACCCGACTCTTGCCACCCAAACGCACCGTTTGTATGCTCTGTGGCGTACAGGAGACGGATGTGTCGAGTTTCCATCGAGCTGCCCTGGTCACTTTTGATCAGTGGCAGTGTCTGGTGGCCAGGGATCAGGACAAGGAGTTTGTCGTTAGTGTGATTTTTGTATGCTATGCGGCGTACAGGAGACGGATGTGTCGAGTTTCCATCGCGCGGCCCTGGTCACTTTTGATCAGTGGCAGTGTCTGGTGGCCAGGGATCAGGACAAGGAGTTTGTCGTTAGTGTGATTCAAGCGGTTCAACATGTGGTACAACAGGCGGCCGAACAGTCCGCCGCTAAACCGCAGTTTAAGTTGACTCCACGCAAAGTGAAAGAGGTCTGTGTTTTTGCTACCACTTGTCTGCCCCCACCCTCTCTAACACCCCTTCTATTAGCTGTTCATTATTTGATTGTTATTTGGTTTATGTATATTTTTTGTTATGTTTAGGCAAATGGAAAGGTGTTTATACTACTGGACAGTCCGGTCAGCGATAAGCAACAGATTGATATACTGGTCGACGGATGCGGTGATAATCAGGTCTCTGTGAAGTGGAAGAATGCCTACACATTATACTTCATTCTACCGGGTAATTACCAACACATATACAGTATATATTTATTACATTATAAATACCATTCATATTATTATCATATATATTGAGAAATAAAGGGAAATATTTCGCAAACAATTATCTGTCAAACAAAATGTTTGACGAGAAAAATGAGATACAAAAATGTTTGTATAAATGTTATATTAATGTTAATTACCATTTTGTATGTATAGAAAACATGCTGAGAGTGGCCAAAGTGATGAACATATCGCTGATATGCGACACCAAACACTTCATGGGCACCCGACCCCTCAAATGCGAGACCCAAATGAGTGAACTCCACGGCCTGTTGTCGTCCGTCAACTCTCCCTTCGAGTTCATGAGCCAAACGCTCGGCTT